ATGCTGGTCAGGGTAGCGCTGGCTCTGCAGAAGGAGAAAGCAATTCACGCTTCTTGTGACTCCTCCTAAAAAGTTTCATTTTGGCTTGAAGGAAGGCAAGGCACGTGGTGGAGAAGCATACCAGCAACAGGGGCACTGTTTTCATCCAGTTGGGTCAGTGCTGTTGAGTTCAGAAAGAAAGCAAAGACAAGTAACAAGGGTTGTACAAGTAATAAAGTTGCTACTGGTTGTGACATCCTCGTGGATCTTAAGGCTGCGTGAGAATCTTTGACAAACTCTACACAGGAACTACTCAGATTTTCACTCTGCAGCAGGGGTCTCACACCTGTAATGCTAATGCACTGCAGAGACCTCCTGTGAAAACAGGTGCTGCCTCAGAACTGTCAGTTCTGCAAGGACCCCAGCAGAGGTGACAGAAATGCAGGCAGAGACTGTGGGCGTTGCTTTGGAAGTCAGCAAGGTCTCTGCAGGACTACTGTGGGAACTTCACTGGACCACCCTGAGAAGCTGGAGGTCACCTCACACGTGATGTCGTTTTTTTCCTGTCAAACTGTTCCTCCAGCCTTCTGACACCCATATACATGAAGCTCTGCATGTAACAGTTCACATGCATGTGGTTCGAGTGCTGACGTGAAAGAGACTGACGTGCTTTCTTTACTAAACATGCTTTCAATTCAGTGCAGGCAGGTTGTGTGATAACCCACAAGTCCAAACCCTCGAGCAACTCCCACCACACATCAAGACAAGGCTGGCACAGCGCTCTGTCCTTCCTGGTCCGGATACACAACAGCAAAGGCCCCATTTCTGGCACCTCGCTTCCCACAGGTACTGCCCGAGGTCAGAGGCGTTGGCGACGACCGTGCCAGAGACAGCAACAGCTGGAAAAACGTGGAATCCAAAACGGCCCTCACGCTATCCCTGTGCTGCAAAGCTCGGGGCTGGGCCATGGCAGCCCAGAGGATGCCTCTGGCATGGCCCACGGTGATCTCCGCTGACCGCGGGTGCGGGGGCTTGGGCAGCTGCTCTTTGTGCGTGGGTCCCTCACGGGACTGGATGGGGCAGGCCCCACCTCACCTCACCTCACCGGGCCGGGCAGGCCCCACCTCACCTCACCTCCCCTCACCGGACCGGGCAGGCCTCCAACTCACCTCACCGGGCCGGACCGGGCAGGCCCCTCCCCGGCCTCACCTCACCGCACCGGCCCGGCCCACACGGAGGAAGCCCCGCCGAGACCCCTCGGGTCCCTCCCCTTCCCGGCCGCGCCCGGCCCGGCTCAGCGCCCTCGGACAGG